ACCACCACCACCACCATCACCACCACCACCACCACCACCACCACCACCACCATCACCACCACCCACCATCATCATCATCACCACCACCATCCATCATCATCACCACCACCACCACCACCACCACCACCACCACCACCATCATCATCATCACCACCACCATCAATCATCATCGCTGGTGTAGTACAGGGATTCCACTACGGTATTTCTCCAACACCAAAGGGCGGCCCCAACAGAAGTGGTCCTCCTTCCTGTGTACATTTCCTCTCCTCACCAGCCAGCCAGCCGCACCTGTAGCCCTCCTTCCTGTTCACCTGCCTCCCACACACCTGCCATGGGACTCCTCTCGTGGGAATGTCTCCTTTGTATTCCCCAGTCTGATGTACGTACTGTACTTTTATGTATGTATATATTTACACACACACACACACACAAATTCATACATACACTTCTATTCACTCACTCACACACCTATTCATTCATGTACACACACCTATTCATTCACACACACGGAGACTCTAACAATCACTGGAGCGGATCCATCTTGTTACATGCACATTACTCCACTCTTATTCATATCTATTGACGCCATTACCTACAACTACTGCCAGACAAAACAACCCGCATGCTGTGACCTCTGAGTGTAGTGACCTCCGAGTGTAGTGACCTCTAATGACCTCTGAGTGTAGTGACCTCAGAGTGTAGTGACCTCCGAGTGTAGTGACCTCTGAGTGTAGTGACCTCCGAGTGTAATGACCTCCGAGTGTAGTGACCTCCGAGTGTAATGACCTCCGAGTGTAATGACCTTATTTGTGATCACCTGAAGAATCTCCACCCTAGCTTATTTCACCTAAAGATTAACCACCCTAACCTAACCTAACCTAACCCTCGAGATAGTGTTAGGGTAATCCAATCCGTGTCCAGCTCCTTTACCACATTACTATATAGTGATAATTATTTATATCATAAGGTCATATAACATTACCTAATTATTCCCATTCAAATGTATAAACAATGTACAAAAATTAGAAAAAAAAATGTCAAAAATAAATAAAAAATATGTAAAAAAAAATTAATAATGTAAAAAAATATTGACAAAACCAATGTGGTGATTTTTCGAGTTACCATAAAGATAAAGTTAAAGGTCACCACGCAACAACAGGCTGATGGGGAGTGTACCGGAGGCAAGAGGAGGTGTGTTAAGTACAGTGGCGTGAAGCTCAGTCGTGTGTTTTGCCGTGACAAACCCAGAACGTGACGCTGTATGGGGCTGCCTGTGTGAGGGGGCGCGTGAGGGGGCGTAAGGAGGGTGAGAGACCAGGGACTAACTAACTAGCTAACTAACTACTATTGGGATGTGACAGAGAAAAACACAAGATGATTTAAAACAGTCAACAAAGAATGGTAATAAATGGAGTACTACAAGGCTCTATCCCTGGACCCACCCTGTTTGTGATCTACATAAATGACATCGATGAAAACATATCGAGGCCGCCAAGTTTGTGGACGACGCGAAGATATTTGGGAAGGTAGCGAGTCAAGATGATGTGGCAACAATGCAGAAAGTATGTGGCACCAATGCAGAAAGTCTTGCATGAGCTGTTCAGGTGGTCTCGAGACTGTCAAATGGTCTTTAATATAACAAAATACAAGACCAAACATAAGATACAACAACCTTGATCACAACTCTTCTCTTGATAACATTATCCTGGATACTGATAGAGGCCTCAGCAAGGAAGAGTTGGAAGACCAGGAGGGAAATAAAGGTAAGAGGAATCTGAGGTGAGGAATGTAAGAAGAGTGAGGGAAAGAGAAGAGATATAACAGTGGTGAGAAGCGAGACGTTAGGGCAGGGACTAGTGGTGACGGGTGAAGTGGGGGACACAGGTGAGGCGGCGGAGGGCGTACGTGTGAATGGGGAGTTGTGGGAGGCGGGTGAGAGGGAGGGAGAGAAGGACGCCGCGTGGGGAAGGAGAAGGAGGTGGCAGAGGGGGAGGTCCTGTGGTTGTTTGAGGAGAGAGAGAGAGTGGGGGGGATAGGGGAGGGCCAGGTGGTAGGGGACAGGGGAGGAGGAGGGGGAGCAGGAGGAGGGGGCAGGGAGTCATCAGCTACGCACGTCACGCGTCACTACCAAACGATGCTCTGCTACCCGTCCTGTGCCCCCCCCCTCCTCCACCCAACACACACTGTTGCCGGGTGATCCTTTTAGTTAACATTTCCAACGACGAGGTGAAGCTCACACACACACACACACACACGTATACACACACACACACACGTACACACACACACACACACGTTAGCCATCACCACTATAGATGTCCCTACCTTCCTGTCCTCACGCCTCCTACCCTCAATCCTCATGTCTCCTCCCCGTATCCTTCCTACCCGCACCCATCCTATCCTCCTCCCTCCTTCCTTTAAATCATCTCTAAAAAAATATTTATTGTCGAAGTATTAATATTTCTTGTAACACTTACTATATTTACAGTACCTGTTTTTATTGTACCACCAAAACCGTTTTATCGGAAATTATCATGTAAATAAATAAGTAATTACCATTGCTATAAACATATTTGCCAACCAGACATAATACTGACAGCTCTGTCCTCTTGTTCCACCTTAATACAACCCGTGTTGTACTGCTTCCCTCCCTTATCATATTTATGTATATCAACTCCACTGTAAAGTATGTATATACTTATAATATAAATAACTAAATAAATATTGAAGTGATAACCGTGGTAACATGTTGTTATTACCACCATGCTATTGTACTATTCCAGATGATACTAAATGTTACATAATACTTCCTTGAGATAAATGTATAGTATATATCAGGTGCAGCTCAGGTTCTCAACTGGCTCAGCCATGTTAATATTGTTATTATTATCCACTCTGTATCTGTGTTCTTCTGGCTTAATAAACTGTTTCAATATCAATTCAATCCTACCCTCACCTCTCCTATCCTCACCCCCTATGGCGTCTATGAGGAGTGTTTTAATGGCGTCTATGAGGGGTGTTTTAATGACGTCTATGAGGGGTGTTTTAATGGCGTCTATGAGGAGTGTTTTAATGGCGTCTATGAGGGGTGTTTTAATGACGTCTATGAGGGGTGTTTTAATGACGTCTATGAGGGGTGTTTTAATGGCGTCTATGAGGAGTGTTTTAATGGCGTCTATGAGGGGTGTTTTAATGACGTCTATGAGAGTGTGTTTTAATGGCGGCTATAGAGGAGTGTTTTAATGGCGTCTATGAGGGGGTGTTTTAATGACGTCTATGAGGGGTGTTTTAATGGCGTCTATGAGGAGTGTTTTAATGGCGTCTATGAGGGTGTTTAATGACGTCTATGAGGGGTGTTTAATGGCGTCTATGAGGAGTGTTTTTTAATGACGTCTATGAGGGGTGTTTTAAATGACGTTCATGAGGGGTAAGCTTTAATGGCGTCTATGGGGGTGTTTTAATGGCGTCTACGAGGGGTGTTTTTAATGGCGGCTATGAGGGTGTTGTGAATGACGTCTATGAGGGTGTGTTTAATGATTTGTCTATGAGGGGTGTTTAATGGACGTCTGGTGAGGGTGTTTAATGACGTCTATGAGGGTTTTAATGACGTCTATGGGGGGTGTTTTAATGGCGGCCTGGTGAGGGTGTTTAATGGCGTCTATGAGGGTGTTTTAATGACGTCTGGTGAGGGTGTTTTAATGACGTCTATGGGTGTTTTTTAATGGCGTCTATGAGGGGTGTTTTAATGGCGTTCCAGAGGGTGTTTTCAATGGCGTCTGGTGAGGAGTGTTTAATGGCGTCGGTGAGGGGTGTGTTTAATGGCGTTCATGAGGAGTGTTTTAATGGCGTCTATGAGGAGTGTTTGTTTATGTCTATGTGAGGAGTAAGTGTTTTAATGGCGTCTATGAGAGTGTTTAGTATGTCTATGAGGAGTGTTTTAATGGCGTTCCAGGAGGGGTGTTTTAATGGCGTCTATGAGGGGTGTTTTAATGGCGTCTATGAGGGTGTTTTTAATGGCGTCTAAGTGAGGGTGTTTCTAATGGCGTCTATGAGGAGTGTTTAGTGGCGCTTATGAGGGTAAAGCTTAATGGCGTCTATGAGAGTGTTTAATGGCGTCTAAGTGAGGAAAGTGTTTTACCGGCGTTCATGAGGAGTGTTTTAATGGCGCTCCTGCGAGGAGTGTTTTAGTGGCGCTGCCTGGCGAGGAGTGCGTTTTTAATGGCGTCTATGAGGGTGCTTTAATGGCGTCTATGAGGGTGCTTTAATGGCGTCTATGAGGGGTGTTTAATGGCGTCTATGAGTTAGGGGTTATTATGAGCACTTTGATCTTCCCTTCTCCCCTTCCCATCCTCTTCCCTCACTCTTGCTTCATTTTCCTTTCTTTCCTGCCCCCCCTTCCCTTTCTCCCCTTGCTTCACCTTCCCTTTCCCTTCTGTTCCTGCCCCCCTTCCATCTCACCCTGTCTTCCCTCTCTTCCTGCCCCTTCCATTCCCACCCCTCACCCTTCCCTTTCCTCTTTCCTGCCCCCTTCCATCTCTAATTCCCTCACCTTCCCCCTTCCCTTCTTCCTGCCCCTCCATTCCACCCCTCACCTTCCCTTCCCTCTTCTCTTCCTGCCCCCTTCCATTCTACCTCCTCACCTTCCCTTCCTTCTTCTCTTCCTGCCCCTCTTCCATTCTACCCTCACTCCTCCCTTTTCCCTCTCTCTTCCTGGCCCCTCCATTCTACTCCTCACCTTCCCTTTCCTCACTCCCACACCATCTTTAACCCAACTCACCCTCCCCTTCCCCACAGTCTACAGTCAATCCCTTATGGCAACATGTGTAAACCTGGCAACATGTGTAAACCTGGCAACATGTGTAAAACCTGGCAACATGTGTAAAACCTGGCAATGTAAACCTGCAACATGTAAACCCAGCAACATGTGTAAAACTGCAACATGTGTAAACCCCAAGTAAACATGTGGGTGAAACCTGGCAACATGTGTAAACTCTGGCAACATGTGTAAACCTGGCAACATGTGTAAACCTGGCAACATGTGCAAGCTGGCAACATGTGTGTGTGGCAACATGTGTAAAGCTGGCAACATGTGTAAACCTGGCAACATGTGTAAACCTGGCAACATATGTAAACCTGGCAACATGTGTAAACCTGGCAACATGTGTAAACCTGGCAACATGTGTAAACCTAGCAACATGTGTAAACCTGGCAACATGTGTAAACCTGGCAACATGTGTAAACCTAGCAACATGTGTAAACCTAGCAACATGTGTAAACCTGGCAACATGTGTAAGCCCTCAAGTACTCAATCACTGTCTGACATTTAATTACTGGGCATCGTTCTTTCAGTAACATTGTTCATTAATATCTGGCTGTTAATTTATGTTAATGTGTTTGTTGTCCATTGAAAGTTTTACCACCAATTATGTTAAGTAGAACACAATGATTCCACTACTGCAGTATTTAATGGTGATACAATTAATCAGCAATTTTGTTTCCGTGTTAGAGAAGTGAGGTGAGGTTAGGAATAATGATGACGATGATGATTATGATGATGATAATAATAATAATAATAATAATAATAATAATAATAACCCAAACAATAATAATAACAATAATAACAATAACTCACTCTAACACTCTCTCTCTCTCTCACTCTATCTGATTCTCATATATTTCAATCTTTTATAATAACTATTTAAACGTCGTAATTTATTATTTAATTTCACCATATAACTGGGAGCCAATATGAAGAGATGGTGTGGTGTTGGTATGGTGTGGTGTGGTATGGTGTAGTGTGGTTATGGTGAAGGTGTGGTGAAGGTGATAGTGTGGTGTAGTGATGGAGGGGTGAAGTGATGGTATGGTGGTAATGGTGTGGTGGTGGAGGGCGTCAATAGCAGCAGTAGGGTGGTCAGCTGGCTACCACACATAATGACCATGAAGACTGTCCACTCTAACCTGCCCCTCCCTCTCACCCTCCCTCATTCACGCTCTGCCTCCCTCACTCCCTCCCTCATTCACGCTCTGCCTCCCTCTGTACCTCCCTCACTCCCCTCTCTCTCCCCCTTTAACCCAACCTCATAACATTACACACATGGCATCACAATTTTTATGTTCCTCCCCGACACACACACACACACGGTCAGGTCAGCAGGAGCCGCCGTGAGTTGCACAACGTCTCTCCCTCAGTGGACAAGCAGGACAATTCCATCCAATTGAACATTATAACAAAAAGCGGTTGAGTCACGCATCAGGGGAACCTGCTTACACACACACACACACCTCATGTGGTCAGGGATGGGGCAGGAACATACAACACAATACTGTTACTTGTGGCCACACCTGGTGAGTCAGCCACACCCACTGGTCAACAGAGCCACACGCTAATATGTCTTCCCTCAACAAAAGGTTAAAATAATGGGTATGAGTGCTACAGTTTGTCCAAGAGGAGGAACACACCATCAGACAAGGCCCTCACACTCAGGAGGTTGACAGAGAGAAAGCGAGGGCAGCCTCTTGAGCCTTGGGCAGGTGGTGTGAGCCTATCACCCGTGTCCTCACATTCCCTTCACTTAGCGGGGAATGTTGAGACGCGTCATACACCAACACCAGCCTTCTTCACCCCTGCTCACGGATTATATACACGCCACCACCCACAGTGTAAGTGTGTGTGTGTGTGTGTGTGTGTGTGTCGTCATAGTACAATTACGACAGAACGCAACCCCCAAATAAGTATCTTCACGGAGGGTGATCGATGAATTACATAATGAACACTATGACTCCTGTTGTCTCGATAGGGTTGTCAAAATCCTTCGTCCGTTGTGTCGTATTGTCTCACACATTCTAGCACGTGACTAATACACACACACACATTATGTCCTTATAGCATATACGGAAGACTAGGGGTACAGGAGGAGGAGGGGAGGGAGGGGAGAGGGGAAGGGGAGAGGGCCAGGTTTAGTTGGGACGCCGTCACCATGGTAACCAGCAGGTGGGCAACGTGGCGTCATTGTCTTCACTACAGCGGCGTGATACATATGGTGCAGGTAACCCAACAGCCACACACCTTAATTATCTTCCTCCTACCTTGGTCACCTTCCTACCTGTGTATAGTTATTCCTCTAAGATTGTGTTACTTGTGGTAAATTTAGTCTTGTTCTGTTTTTTTCTGAATTATCTGAGTTTTATTTATTTCATCTGAAGTAAAAAAAATAGTGGTGGTGGTTGTTGTTTAGGTACTGTTAGCGAGGAAGTATGTACTGTATGTATGTATGTATGTATGTATGTATAGTAGGTAGTAGACCGCTATCAAACAGGGAGGTACTACCGCCTGGGAAGATATTGGAAGCATAATGTGTGTCTCATGGTAGACCCTGCTGCCATATGGCATCACAAAAATTGCAGGGTCTCAATTGTTTCTCTTACTTTGACAACATAACATACATATATTGTTTCTCACTAGTGATTTTTTTTCCTTAATATTATTATATTTGAATTTAATATTTTTTGATAAATTTGTATTATTATTATTATTGTTATATTTTCACCCCCAGGCCCCGATGTGGGTCATTGACCTTTGCCCGGGTGAGCTAATCCCCGTAAAAAGGCAAAAAAAGGAAACGAAAAAAAGGTATTTGTATGTGTATGAGAGGTCATGGATGACACCCTGTTAGCGTTACTCACCAGTGTTGGGTGCGTGACGTGACCCGTGTAGGAGGAGCTTCATTGATCGTCTTACCTGGAAATAAAACAACGCATTTTGTAAAGGTCATCTTATAGACACAGTGAACACACCTTCACTTCTACACCTTATTACACTGTGTAATGAAAGTAATATAGCTTTAATTAACTTATACCTGTGTAATATAAGGAGATATAATCTGAGTTACCTTATACCTGTGTAATATAAGGAGATATAATCTGAGTTACCTTATACCTGTGTAACATAAGGAGATATAATCTGAGTTACCTTATACCTGTGTAACATAAGGAGATATAATCTGAGTTACCTTATACCTGTGTAACATAAGGAGATATAATCTGAGTTAACTTATACCTGTGTAACATAAGGAGATATAATCTGTGTTACCTTATACCTGTGTAATATAAGGAGATATAATCTGAGTTACCTTATACCTGTGTAATATAAGGAGATATAATCTGAGTTACCTTATACCTGTGTAACATAAGGAGATATAATCTGAGTTACCTTATACCTGTGTAACATAAGGAGATATAATCTGTGTTACCTTATACCTGTGTAACATAAGGAGATATAATCTGAGTTACCTTATACCTGTGTAATATAAGGAGATATAATCTGAGTTACCTTATACCTGTGTAACATAAGGAGATATAATCTGAGTTAACTTATACCTGTGTAACATAAGGAGATATAATCTGTGTTACCTTATACCTGTGTAACATAAGGGCTATAATCTGTGTTACCTTATACCTGTGTAACATAAGAATATAATCTGAGTTACCTTATACCTGTATGTAACATAAGGAGCTATAATATGTAAGAATGGAAAGGAAGGAAGGAGGAGGGAGGAGGAGGGAGGAAAGAAAGGAAAGAGGAAGGAAGGAGGGAGGGAGGGAGGGAAAGAAGGAAGGAAATAAGGAAGGAGGGAGGGAGGGAAAGAAGGAAGGAAGGAGGATGGAGGAAGGGAAAGAAGAATGGAGGGAGGGAAAGAAGGATGGAAGGAAGGAGGGAGGGAGAGAACATAAGGAGTCTGCAATAGGCTGGTTGGCCTGTGCATGGCAGCTCCTGTCGAGAGTTACTACCACTCTCTATCATCCATGAATCTATCTAGCCTCCCTTTGAATCTTTCCAGAGTTCCCGCACTTACTACAAAGTTGCTAAAGGGAAGAGGTACTAGGAGGTACACCACTGTTCTGATGTGATTACCGGTAATTACTGACCCCACATTAACCATTAGTAACACATTTAACCTGTGTTTAGCAGCGGGGGCGAACGATGATGGTGATGATGGTGGTGGTGGTGATGATGGTGATGATGGTGATGATGGTGGTGGTGGTGGTGATGATGATGGTGAGGATGGTGGTGGTGGTGTGATGATGTATGATGGTGTGAGGTGGTGTTGAGGTGGTGGTGATGATGATGATGATGAGGATGATGGTGATGAAGATGATGATGATGATGATGATGATGAGGATGATGGTGATGAAGATGGTGATGAGGATGATGATGAAGGTGATGATGATGATGATGAAGATGATGATGGTGATGATGATGGAGAAGGAGGAAAAGTCAATCGTTTCTTCCCAAACTATGAAGGTAATTAATTACTGAGTTAATAACACACACACACACACACACACACACACACACACACACAGGGGTAGTCGTGTAATACAATTGTTTATACTGTAATTACAAGACAAAGAACATTACTCACACAACAAAGAAACACAATTACCACCTAGACAAACGCCTAATAACCCTAACCCAAGACAAAAACAACATCAAACAAAGACAAAAATCAGGAAAATAATAATAAAAGTCATAATTAAAATACCAAAAGGGTGAGACAGTCAAGGTAACCCCCCCTCCCCCCCGACACAAGAGACGGTCACCAGTACTGTCCTGTCCTGCCCGTCTGTTACTGTACATACCAGCGTAAATCCTCACCGTCACCCGTCACATCAATATACTGCGAGACGACCCTCCCCCTACAGCTGTCACTACCATAACACCTCACACATATCCGCAACACAGTGCCTCATAAGTAACACATAAGTAACACACATCACTCTGTACCACTGACTCATAAATAACACATCACTGTACTGACTCATAAGTAACACATAAAGTAACACACATCACTCTGTGTGCCTCATAAACAACACACAAGTAACACACATCACTCTGTACTGACTCATAAGTAACATAAGTAACACACATCACTGTACTGACTCATCAAAGTAACACACATCACTCTGTACTGACTCATAAGTAACACACATCACTCTTGACTCATATGTATTTATAAGTAACACATCACTCTGTACTGACCATAAGTAACACATAAGTAACACACATCACTCTGTACTGACTCATAAGTAACACACATCCTCTGTACTGACTCATAAGCCTAACACCATCACTCTGTGCGACTCATAAATGCCACACATCACTCTGTACTGACTCATAAGTAGCACATCACTGTGCAAGCTCACCAAAGTAACACATAAGTAACACACATCCTCTGTACTGACTCATAAAGTAACATAAGTAACACACATCACTCTGTACTGACTCATAAATAACACACATCACTGTACTGACTCATAAGTAACA